CTGTATACCATGGAGTCACTAGGGCAGACACAGCCTGAGAGCTGCTGTTCCACACAGCATGGAGTCACACAGGGCAGGTGCAGCCTGAGGACTGCTGTTCCACACACCATAGAGTCACTTGGACAGACACAGCCTGAGAGCTGCTGTTCCACACACCATGGAGTCACCAGGGCAGGCACAGCCTGAGGACTGCTGTTCTACACAGCATGGAGTCACTAGGGCAGGCACAGCCTGACAGCTGCCTTTCTATACACCATGGAGTCACTTGGACAGGCACAACCTAAGGATTGCTGTTCCACACATCATGGAGTCACTGGGCAGGCACAACCTGAGGACTGTTGTTCCACACACCATGGTGTCACCCAGGGCAGGCACAGCCTGAGGACTGCTGTTCTACACACCATGGAGCCACCTAATACAGGTGCAGCCTGAGGACTGTTGTCCTGAACACCGTGGAGTCTCTAGAGCAGACAAAGCCTGCTCTCCCCAAGATGCTCCCTGTCTGGCTTTCTCTTGTTCTTTCCTCATCCCTCTGTAACTGCTCTCCTATCCCCACCTGTGGGAGTCCCCAAGAGAACACTGATGAGTAAGCACGTGTGCAAGGTAAGAGAAAGAACATTGCGCTTGGATTTTGGGAGCCTGGGTTTTTCCCCAGCCTGGTCCCTAGCTCTCTGCAAGCTGTGGGTAGCTGGCTACCAAAGTCACAGAACAGGAACTGGGTGAAGGCCAACACAGGAAGCATCTCAGCTGTGAACAATGAGCCTTCTCTTTCTCAGCAGTGCTGGGAAAGGCAGCATTGCCCTTGGCCCCCCACCGAGGCTTCCCAGAGCCCCTGCCCCTGCTGTTCCTGCACCACTCCTGATCTACTTCCTGGTGCTGAAGCTCCGCTCTCCAGGTGGTAGCCAAGCTGGCCCAGCCTCACGATAGCTTTTGAGGCCACGAATCCTGTTTGGAGCCCCACCAGCCGCCCTTCAGGCTTTCCTCTGAGGTCCTGCCAAGGGAAACGGGGCCTCCAAGGACTCCTTCTCGAGGGACCCGCAGACATTTCCTCTGTTGGTCCAGCCAGTGTCAGAGCCTGCCCATTCCTATCCCCTTAAAGACAAAGTCTCCATGATGCCAGTCTGTATTCAGGAATCACTGATGCAGCTTAGAGAGACATTCTGAGAGGGTGAGGGTGCAGACAATGAGGCCCTCGAATCAGAGAATGCTGTGTATGTTGGCAAGGAAATCACCGAGTTTACAGCGGTGAAGATTCAGAATTCAGATAAGCTTTTCGAAAGGCCAGCTTTCTCTACTTCATCTTCTCAATGTCATCCTGCTGAGTTGAAGTCAGTTGAGCTCAGGCAAAACTCTGGAAATGCAGTGAACCTTTCAGCCTAACCTTCAGCAAACCTCGACGTTGCTCTGTGGCTTAGTCCACTTCCCAGGAATATGAAGGAGCTCTTTCCTGGGTGCAGGCCACAGTTAGCCCTCTGGGACTCCTACCAGGAGACGGTTGATTCAGCAAGTGACAGTCATTTCCAGTAAAGTCACCACCATCCTCTTCCCGTGAGGTTATTTTTCGTTTGTCTCTTTAGTACCAGGGATTGAACCCTGGGGTGCTTAACCACTGAGCCACATGCCCAGCCCTTTTTATATTTTATTTAGAGACAGGATCTCTCTAAGTTGCTTAGGGCCTCACTGAGTTGCCGAGGCTGGCCTTGAACTCACAGTCCTCCTGCCTTCGTCCCCTGAACCATTGAGTTCAGAGGTGTTCACCGCTGTGCCCAGTGTAACTTTATTCTTAATAGTCAGAAACTGGAAAAATACAAATGTCTATCAACAGATAAAAAGATAAACAAATCCTAGAGGATGTGTACAATGGATACCTCCTCAACAGAGAGGAAAGGCTCCAGGGAATCCTGCAGGTGGGAGAGGACAACACAAATACCCGTGCGCTACGCAGTTCCACTACACCACACCCCAGAGAAGGCAAAAATCAAGAGTGTTAGGAATCAGAACAGTCAGGGTGCTGGGAGAGGGCAAGAGGGAGCTTTCTCTTGCTGTCTGGATGTTGGGTTCCTTGTCTCTCTTCAGCAAAGAATTGAGGAACAGGACACAGAGATAGCAAGCCAGCAACAGGTTTATTGCAAACACAGCAGAGATAGAGACTTCTCCCAAGAGAAGGGATCCCAGAGCTGGACCTCTGGTGGAGCTTGGGCCTGTTCTTATGGTCTCTGGACTTCCCTCCTGACCTTGTCTCCTGCCCTGTCCACGTGCTCTTCACTGTTATTGACTGTGCCCTGCTGCCCATGCCTCTGATTAAGGTTTTCTATTGGATCCCTGGCTTGGGGGCACGAGTGCTGAGGTGCCTTTCTGATTGGGTCCCCGCTTGTGTCCACAAGCACTTTCGTAAAGTGGGAAGTTGACCTCACCAGGAGACCCTGTCCATGCGCCTTGTTCCTGGGCCTGTCCTGACCTCCTCACTGCCTCTTGCCTGGGTGCCTAGGCCCTTCTCCATCTCCCTCAATCCCCCCTCAGGGGAAACCCCGACTACTGCTGGGAGCTGGGGCCACTCTGGCTACCACTCTGGCTACTTCAGGCTGGAAAGGGGCATTGAGGGCCTGAGTCTGGGGGTTCTCCTGAGGGAGAGGTCAGGCAAGGAGGCATTGTCAGGACGGTTCAGAGGCCCTTGGTGGAAGCTGGCCAGCACCGTTATTTGGGGTTTATCTGTACAGCCCTTCTTTAGATCCTACCATACAGATACATATCACAACATCAAAGTGAGATCAACACTAAAGCAAATACTGTTATAGGGTTAAACAGAGCAGAAAAATGTCAT